AGACAAATTTCCTAACATTTTAGAATTTTTAATTTTTTTCTTAATAGAAAGAAAAAAGATAATGGGGTTGAATGTTAAATTTCTCTGTACATACCTACTCACATATTTATGTACTATAAAATGACACCGTTGATCTATTCTTGTAAAAAATATTAGGAATAAATAAAGTCTAACACTGAAGGAACTGAATTAAATCTAAACAAATAAAAATATATCACTGCATTTTCAATATTCTATTCCATTTTCTGTCACAACACAGATAGAATAAGTTTATTTTGTTTATCTACGTATTTCACTTTAATGCTGTTTGTTGTTTTGGTAACAGATTTATTAATTACATAAAAAATTATTACATTTATCGGCTTAAATAAAGAGTACATAATTTTTTTGATATTGTTTCTCTTTTCAATAATATTTAAATTTCTGTGATGTCTAGCAAGACGAAAAGTTATGAAAAAAATAAATAAATTTTGAGTTCTAGGTAAAGTGCCCTCTAGCAGCACACAATGAAACTTTTCTCTCATTGGTCCAATAGAGCTTCATCTACTTAGAGGGGGTTCCAAATGAGAGACTAATCGAACTTGAATTAAATAAGTTATTTAAATAGAAAATTTAAAAAAATAAACTTTGACAAGCTGTAACTTGCAAACAATTGACAATTCAAAAAAATGTTTAATTACATACTGCTATTTTAATCCGTAAAATCTCCTCCCGGTGTTTCCTGGCAGACTTTCAGAACACCCTGTATATATTTTCTAATTCCTAGGTAAATTTTAAGATTGAGATAATGGTACATAATTTCTGTTTTTTGTATAAGTATAGAATATGGTTAATAAAATCATTTCATAATTATTAAGGTGTATTGCAATAGAATATTTTAAAGATTTTTGTTAATTTTAGCTTTAACATGGTTATAGGATATTACAGAACTCCCATAGCAAATCATTTATTATTTTAGGGTAGGTTCTATTGCAACTGTTAATTTGTACCCAACTGTATTATAGTCTGTCCAATATACGTGTGGACAATAAACTGCCTATAAGGTTAATTTTTCAAAAAGCAGTATTAATTATTACTAAACACTCACGCATGATAAGTTAGATTCCTAAGTGTTTGGAAAATACCCTATTGGTATTTATTTTCATCAGATCTTGCACGCGCTTCTTCCTGCGAATTAAATTTCTTCATTAATCAAGTAGGAGGGTTCCTAATGAACAGACATTGTAAGAACGCGCCTGATAAAAAACTCTGGTCTTTAACCTTAACAAGACTAGGTCAACCCTATTACCTACCAACAAAAAAGGTCAATACGTGTATATTTCCATCTCGTACGGAACTTTGTCCTCATTTATCCTTTAATATGCACCCCATTAAGCCCTTCAGATATGCATCTTCCGGTTCCGTGCAGCTAATAACATATTCTAGTTCCAGAGGGTCAAATAAATAAAAAGTTATCTAAGCAGTTCGAACTACTTCTTGGTTTAACGCAGCCGGATATCCTAATAACTTCGTATTCCACCGCGATTGTGATGATGTATTTGTGTGTTTGTTTGTTGGAAATAAAACGTTGCGAAGCATTTTTATTAAAGTTCGTATAAATTGGGTATTTTCTTCCTGGCATACTGGAAATGCTGAGGTAAACGTTGTGCAAGTTCCGGTTGCACTTAAGAGGGTGTGGGTGGAAATATCGTAACAAATGGATTCAGATTCCTTTAAAAATAAAAGAAATTTATGGTTTTTAAACCAATGAAGTTTATCCCGTCGGGAATTTTATAATACCTACCTATTCCATAATTTTTTCAAATTCAACAAACATTTGTCTATAGAAACGCTTTGCTTTCCTCATGGAGATTGTTCAATGTTAATGTAAATTCTAAATAGGTAGGTATGTGATTGTTTTAAATTGAAAAAAAATATGAAATGAAATATATATAATACAGGGTGTCTCACGGTGACAGCCCATTAGAATTATTTCAGAGACTACTTCGCTTTGAATTTAGAACTTTATGGAATACCAGGTTTTCGGGCATACCCTTCTAAATTAAAATTATGGCGTCCACATACCACTTCCGGTTATGCCGGAAGTCGCCATCAGCTTGCCTATTTTAAATCAAAGACCCTATATATTATTGCAATTTTGGATTCTACGTGTTATTTTAGGTGGACTTTTATGAAGTTTTCCTATTCCTAAAATTAACCGCTTTCGAGATATTTAAGAGTGCCTTAATTGCATACAGGGTGCTAGAAATTTAATGCCGAGTTAGTTAACTTCAAACCTTCATAAGTCGGTTTTTTGGAACACCTGTATGTTTTTCTATATTCTGATACATAATTTTATTCTCTTTCGAATGATATCAGGGTTCCCTATACATATCTCTTGTAGTTTTTAAGTTATCTACTATTTTTTGTGTAATCACCTAAAATCATGCAATTTCTTGCGAGGATAGCTGTGGAATTTTTAGCAAAACTTCAAAAAAACAACTAAACTGTCAATTTGTTGTTAGTCTCTTGCAGTAACAGTTTATTTTAGTGTTTATACGAAATGGAAAACAATACATATTCAAATGCTGATATTTTAAATTTATTATTCATTCACGGACGTTAGAATGGGATTATAAACAGAACATGTATAGTTTTTAATGAGACATATCCAAATTTGCCACCAGTGAGCAGAAAAAAGTTAAGAAGAATTTTAGCAAATCAACTAGAGTATGGTCAAATTTGTGCAGAAATAATTTTTACCAAAACCAATAACTTCAAATGAATATAATGTAATAAATGTGCTAGCTTATTATAATGTTCATCCAGAATCCTCAACTCATGCCGCAGAGTATGATTTGGGCATTTCACGAGCGTCCATTCACAGGATGCTAAGAACTAATGATATGCATCCATACAAATTTAAGCTACTTTCTGCTCTTCATCCGGGTGACGCCGTGCAACGTGTACAATTTTGTGAAACGATGTTAGAGCGATACCAAGAAGATCCATAATTTTTGCAATATATGGACAGACGAGTCAAAATTTACGAGAGAAGGTATTTTTAACAGACATAATACATATTTGTGGTCATCTGAAAATCCTCATGTTATCCGGGAAAGAAACTTTCAAAATAAATTTAGCGTAGGTAAATGTTTTTTGTCTAATTAAAAAATAACCAAATTTCTTACCAAATCTACGAAGAAAATTTAAATGCCGACAGATATCTCAATATTTTGCATACGGTTGTGGCAGATTTTCTAGATGATATACCTTTAGACCAACTAAGGAAGTGTTGGTATCAATTAGACGGGGCTCCACCTCACTGTCACAATCAAATCGATCAACAGCTGACTGAAATGTTTGAAGATAGATGGATGAGACGCCTAGGATAGTGGAATTGGCCAGTGAGGTCTCCCAATCTTACTCCATTAGATTTTTATGTTTGGGCAGTAATAAAGCAAAAAGTTTATTCTACACCCGTTGCTTCAAAAGAGGATTTGATTGTTCGAATACGAAGAGCGTTCCATGAATTGCCTGCAGCTGAAATAGCAAAAGCTGTGACTGATGGTGTTACCTCTAGAATCCACAAGTGCTTAGCTGTTAATGGGGGTCATATTGAACACTTATGACTTTTTAAAGTATTTTTTTTATCTTAGTGCATTATTATTGTCAACATACTTAATTAAAATTGTGTATTACTTTACTATGTATGAAGTTGATTTTTTAGAATTCTTCTTAACTTTATTCTGCTCATTGGTGGAAAATTGGGATATGTCTCATTAAAAACTGTAAATGTTCTGCTTAGAATCCCACTGCAACGTCTGTGAATAAATAATAATAAATAACTGGTGACAGTTTATTTGTTTGTTTTGAAGTTTTGCTAAAAATTCCACAGCTATCCTTGCAAGAAATTACATGATTTTAGGTAATTATACAAAAAATAATAGATAATTTAAAAACTAGAAAAGATTGGTATAGGAAACCCTGATACCGTTCGAAAAAGAATAAAATTGTGTATCAGAATATGGAAAAACATACAGGGTGTTCCATTTAAAAAACTGACTTGTGAAGGTTTGAAGTTAACTAAACTCGGCATTAAATTTCTAGCACCCTGTATGCAATTAAGCCACTTTGAAAGTATGGATGGGAAGCTTAGGGATCTAGCTATCCCCCCTATAAATGTTGTTGCTTTATCTTTCTTATTATAAAATACACATTGTTTGAAGCTAGTCACTGTTTCGCTCCATTTTTTTGGAAAAAATTAAATATCTCGAAAACGGTTAATTTTAGGTATAGGGACACTTTATAAAAGTCCACTTAAAATACCACGTAGAATCCAAAATTGCAATAATATATAGGGTGTTCCATTTAAAATGGAAGTGGTACATGGACGCCATTATTTTAGTTGAGAACATACGTCTAATCAAATGTTAAACCATTGCAACATAAAATGACACTGACAAAATATTCTACTTTTGAACTTAACATACTATGATTTCAAATTTTTTAAATTTGCAATTACGCTATAACTTGTAAACAAATGAAAATCGCATAACAACATTTGAGTTTTTTCGATTTTGACGCCCTTCCATTTTAGGGAAGGTGTTTTTTTATGGGATTGTGAAAATTAAAAGCGTGCCAACTCAACCAGTATCTCTTTTTGTCTAAGGCAATTCTTGCCTTTTTCTCATTTATTTAGACATCGTTTTTATTCCCAAGATTCGCTAACATTTGACTGCATTCCACCAAAAAACAGCAGGAACATAAATTAAATTAAAATATTTCCCCCATCTCGAGCTAATTAAAATCGACGGTCTTGATTTTAAGGACTTTCCAAACTTTAATTTAATTAAACTTATTCTATATGTATGATTTTTACAAATTAAATAGATGCTCTTAAAATGCTTTCAAGGAATTGTTTGTATAAACTACGAACTTTAAAAGTTGGGAAGTTTTTACGAAACTGTTTTCGCCGAGTCGACTAACAAGAATTATTATTTCTTTTTTTTTCTTTTCAGATGAACCGCCCCATCCAAGTGAAACCAGCGGACAGTGAAAACCGCGGAGGTAAGTTAGGAGATTCTTTCTTTTCAAATACATTATTCATTATTTCAATTAGCTGTAACATTATTGTGCAACCTTTGCGTTAATTATTCCACAGAGTTTTTCTTTGTTCTGTTTTGTAACGTATGTGAGAAGGCAGCTATTTTTGTACCTGTAATTTGTTGTTTCAAGATCTTTGGGCGATTTTAGGCAGTAATTACTCGGGGTAAATTTAGAACACGCACTCGCAGAATTGTGTTATTAATTGAATTTAATTTATTTATGTAGGTAGCTTAATGTACCTTACCCAGAAATCATCAATTATTTGAGTGTATTTCATAACATACTTTTATTGCTTCAGACAGCGCAAGCCTAAAATTTTCGAATACAGTATATTACGAGTAGTTCACAAGGAACTTTACTTAATGTATATAACAGAGTAACCGGTATGGGCGGTCATACTTCAAGAATGGTTTTCTTGGATGAAAATAAATCGATTTAGATCGAATTACCTTATTACAATTTTGCGACATTAAAAACTAACAGACTTAAAAAAAATTACTTAATTTTTTAAGATAACTCATACATTTCAATGAAATTTGTTATAAAAGAGGTTATAAAGTAGTCAAAGGCTAATAAAACCTTATTATTTACTTGAATAATTGCTAAGAATACTTGGAACAGAATGTTTCGTCATATTTTTCTGTTTTAGCAGAGATTTTTAAAAAATATCAGCATCTTGAATTATTTTACAACCCTCTGATGAACACATACATACATTCACGGTACAGATTTGCTGCAGCTGGGTTCAAAGCGAAAGCTGATTACATAGATCAATCAGGTCGAATTACACAGGGCCACAAAATGAAATTGAGACTTACCTTCTCGCAGACTAGTTGACTTGTATGTTTTTGAGGTCGCTGATCACGATTCCCGTATCCGTATAACCCCAGCACGTCTGGATCAAAGTCAAATGTAGGTCGAATTTAGTTTTTTGAATGATATAATTTTTTCGACCCCCGGATTTCGAAAGAGCGAGAAATTTTACGTCCAAATACGTGTTGACCTGTTGGTGAAAGTGACCTTTTTAAGTCATTTAAAGGTCGAAGCTGATATTTGAACCTACTGGCTGGAATTTCCGCTACGAAATGAGACGTCGGATCTCGGACTCTCATGGTCAAAGCGGAAATTTCAGCCGGTAGATTCAAATCTCAGATTTGACCTTTAAATGACCTCCAGATAATCTCCAGAGGTCACTTTCACCAACAGGTCAGGACGTGTTTGGACGTAAAATGTTTCACTGTTTCGGATTCCGGAATCAAAGTTATTTAATTCAAAAAACGAAATTTAACCTTCATTTAACCTTGATCCAGACGCGTTGGGATTATACGAATACTGGGATCGTGATCAATGACCTCAAAAACCATACGGTCAACTGGGGAGAAGGTAGGTAAGTCTCAATTACATTTTGTGATCTTGAGTTACTGAATTGCGCATTTACACCTAGACTCAAAACTCATATTACTGTGTTACTACATTTTAGAATATAACTTTACTTAGATAACAATTGTATTACTACAATTGTTTTAATTATAACGCAATGAGCAACTTTACTTACACTGTAAAAAAATCGGTGTGAGTGACAGTAATAAAGGTGCGGAGTGAAATTATTGAGTACATTTTCACTCAATATTGAGCATTTTGATCATTTTACTCGTTTATGATTATATTTCAACTAAAACTGAGTACTTTCACTCAAATATACGTACGCCTTAAATAAATTCTTCACGTAAACTCGTATTTGGTGCACTTGTACCTAAATCAGAGTAAATGTCCTCATTACTGAGCGAGTTTAAATGTATACATTATTCCGAGTAATATGAATGGCGCTGTGAAGATGGCACCACTTACATATTGCTTCTGTAATCTCGACCACAGTTGACAGGGGCCCGTCAGATGCTCTAGAAAAGCGTGATTGCCAGGAGAGAGGCCTTAGTCGGCGACGCCGGTGTCGGGTCTCAGCCAGGACAGGAGAAGGCCCCCACGAAGTAAATTAATTTCAACACTGTATATCCTAATTTATCATTTATGAGTGATTTATGTTTGTACTCAATATTTAGTTAATTCAAAACCAAGTATGAGTAAAAAACGACTCAATAATAATTAAATTTAAATTATATTAGAAAAAGTCAACTCTAAATTGGTTTTATATACTCAGAATAGAGTCAAAAGTCGGTCAATTGATAGTTAGCACTAACTCGGATTTGAGTAAAACTCACTCATTTTATATGCAATAGATTCACTCAGTTATACTCATACTAATACAGGGAAAATTTTACTCAATCGGGTGTGGACATTATTGAGTAAAATTTACTGAAATTTGAGTGAAATTTTTTTACAGTGCAGAAAACTGTTTTCCCTGTCATGTTTTGCATCTTTAGAATTATGTACTCTCATCAAATGTATGTACAATAGAAAATTATCTAAAACATGTGGTGACTTTCCGCCTAGTTTTTTTCTTACACGACTTTATTATCATTCTCTACCTATAACCGTCAAAAATACGTTCCGGATAAAATTATGCAACGAGTTTTCCTAACAAGTATCCAGAATAAACGATAACATCGACTGTTTACTTTCCAACAACCTTTCAATCAATCATGTTCTTCAAACCTTTCACTTAATAGGGGAGTTTTTGCTCGTTATACACTCCCTTCAAGTTTTCCTCAATTGTATTTAATCGGTTCGTTAAAATTTTCGAAACTGTTATTATAATTTAATTACCCGTCTGTTAGCAAGGTTACGTGAGCTAGCAAATATGTGACAGGTTCAGTGACTTTCTATTTTAATACCGGTAATTCGCCTAGACGTGGTATTCAAGCATATTTAGGCATTTGATAAATTTCTGCAGGCTTATTTAAACTTGATAATGAAATAAAGTGAAAAGGCTTTATTAAAAAATATGTCTTCATGTTTCGAGTTAACTAAAATGTATTCTTTTTTGTCTTCGACGTTCTCCCATTTTATTGACTTTTGATAGACTTTAAGTTTAAAATTCAAGTTAATTCAAAGCAAAGGTAATATTTCTACTTCGTTTGTTGTTTTGAATAATGTGCTTTACTGTCTTGCTCTTAATACTGGGCATGTAAAAAGTAATCATATATTATATTAAAACTTTAAATATATTATTGAAAAAAACTTTTGAGACAAGTAGTAAAAGAGTTTAACCTAAATCTCAGTTTAAAAGACAAGATCACAGAAAAATAATGTTTAGAAGAGTAAAGCTGACATCTAAGAATTCTTGATAAGTGAACTTGGCACATTAACTTTTACACTGTCTGGCATTGTCTTATCTGTGAATATTTCTCCAGAATTCATCAAATTTATTCACAGTATACAGAGTGAGTCAAATTCTTTCTTCTAAACCTTTAGATGGACAGATACTTGAATTTGAAAACGCGAATAATTTTTTTACTGTATAGTATTCATTCCACTAATAATTGTAGTAATTAGCAACCAAAGTTAACATGTTCTTAAATAAACATTTGCCCGAAGATACACACTTTTTGGAAATACATACATATCTCAAATTGGTAATTTGCAAGAAACAGGATAAGAAATGCAAGGAAATAAAGGTCATATTTGCTTGAAATAAAATTTAAAAACCATAAAAAATATACTCTTCCAGTGGCGTGACATAACATAAACATGTAACTGCATCTCATAACACTAATTTTGGCATAATTCTTTCACATTTTATCGAACATTTTGTTCATACACAAAATTTTATTTCAATATCTTCACATATTCGTATATTTAGACATAATATACTTAACTTCTTTTGAAAAGATTAACATTGTATATCTATGAAAAACGAATATTTCAAGGGCGAATTTTTATACGAAATGTGCAGAAAATAGTGAAAAAATCTCCCGGAATTGAATAGGTTCTACGAAAAATAACGGACTCACTGTAAATTGATTAGCACTTCTTTGCAGCTTTTTTGTTTCTCATAAAATTTGGATAATCTTTGGGTAAAATCTATGCTATTTCTACAAAAAATTAATTTACTTTCTATGAAGATATATCGAAACTAAAAGTCTTCATCTTTAAACTTGTTTATCTCGATGAATCAAAGTCAAATAAGTATACTTTTCTCACTTAAGTAAGTACTAAACCCTTAAAAACGTCTACAAAAATTTAAAAAGTACTTAGGTCTATAAATTATAGTTCAGAACCACTGAAACCGCTCTGTTCTAGGCTCCCCAATATACCTACAAGTAATTTATTAGTAAAAATTAATTTAGGATATAAAAATTACCCAAAACTGGGTGTTTGCAAATCTCTACTTTGTGGTTCATTTATTTCATCAATTTTGATTCGGTGATATCATTTCCGCAGGCCTATGATATAGGTTATTCCCCAAGATGGTGAATGCCTGGATGTTGAATGATTTTTAATTAGTCAAGATTCATCCAGAGGGACTAAAATCGACTATGGGCAGGTTCCCAGAATAAAAAACCTAGAATTCAAGAGGTAGGAGATCTTACGCAACAGGGTCTCGGATGCCCAGAAGTGGCCGGAATAGAATTGTGTGAGCGAGCTTCACTGGTCCGTCACTTAACAGTCTATTGATATTTAACAGAGAGATCATCGATGCAACGACATCAAATTACTCATTAGAAGCTTGAAAACCCCATAGACAATGAGTTTTTTCACCAACTGCAGAATGCTGGTCTATATCGTCAATTGATATTTGATGATACTCCATAGCTTGGAATTCTGTTCCTCAAAATTTCATACGCAGTCTATTATATCAAAAACTTTGAAAATCAGAATTCTGTTCATATCACACGTCTTGATGAGTGGCATGAGGTTACCCAAAAAATGCCAGAAAACCTGAAATATCGCGCATTTGAAAGTCATTTGTCGAAAACTCTCGAGTCAGAACTTTTTCTAACCCTGAAATTTGTTTTCAGAACATCAAAATACATGGGAAAAACCGGGTCTGATTTAAAAAACTT